GTCAGAGGTCTCGCTCTCACCTAGGCAAGGGTTTGGGGGGCTCATCCTCTCCTGGGCAAAGGGTCAGAGGTCTCGCTCTCACCTAGGCAAGGGTTTAGGGGGCTCATCCTCTCCTGGGCAAAGGGTCAGAGGTCTCGCTCTCACCTAGGCGAGGGTTTAGGGGTCTCATCCTCTCCTGGGCAAAGGTTCAAGGGCCTCACTCTCACTTGGGCGAAGGTTTAGGGGTCTCACCCTCAGCTGAGTGAAGGTTCAGGGGTCGTATGGTCACCCGGACAAAGGCTCAGGGGTCTCACTTTCACTTGAGCAAAGGTTTGGGGGGGATTTCACCCTCCCCTGGGTGAAGGGTCAGGGTTTGGGGTTTGGGGGTTTACTCGGGTTCCATCAGGAGGAACAGGAACAGCCGTGAGGGATCGTGAGGAGGGGACACGGGGTCCAGTGGAGCCCCGGCCACATCCCAGGTGAGGAACACCTGAAGGAATCCCATCCCAGAGTTAACCAGGCACAGGCAGCAGTTCCCTTCCATTAATACATTTATTTTCCTGTCTGCTGGGCTGGTTTATGTTCTCCTGGGATCCTCTGTATCTGCACTGGGCTCCAGCGAGGCAGGGTCAGCAGTGCCAGGGCTTCACGAGGGAAACGGCCTCGAGTTCCACCAGGGGAGGTTTGATTAGAGATTAGGAAAAATTTCTTCATGGAAAGGGCTGTCAGGCACTGGAACAGGCTGCCCAGGGCAGTGGTGGAGCCACCATCCCTGGAAATGTTCAAAAAACGTGTGGATGTGGCACTTGGGGACATGGGTTAGTGGTGACCATGGTGCTGGTGCTGGGTTAACTGTTGGACTCTGACCCAAAAGGGCTTTTCCAACCTGACCAGTTCTGTGATTCAGAGACGCTCAGAAAACAGACCCTCCCTTCTCACTTAACACTTAATTCAGTTTCTGATTTAAGTCCTTCACGTGCTGAGGAGCCTGTGCCGTGCTGGGTGTGCTGGTCAGGACGAGGAATTTTGGGGGCATGGGGAGTAGCCGGGCAGGACAGGGGTTACTTGACCCCGTACCCCACGATGTGCGGCTCGATGGGCGTCCAGGGCAGCGCAAGACTGATGTGTTGTACCTTCAGCTCCGAGAACTTGGCCTCTTCCAGATTCTTCCAGAGCTCTCTCGTGAGGCAGCATCCAGCAAAGACGAGTTTCCAAGTCGGGAAGCAGACCTGCTGCCAAAAATACTTCCAGCTGGAATGCTCGGCGGCCACGTGCTCCAAGAAGTAGAAAGCTCCTCCCTGGGAACACAGAGTCTCTTACAGTGAGTGTGGGGGTCATGCTAAGCAGCTCCCACTGTCCTGTCCCTTCCCTTTTCCCTTTTCCCTCTTCTCCTCCCTGTATCAGTTGGAATTATTGAAAGCAGGAAACTTGCAGAAATTCAAGAAGCACAAAGAATTGACTTATTTGATCCCTCTTTTATTCCAGCAATAACTTGTTATGGCTTTGTTTCAGTCAGTTGCTAACATGACTTTTTTTCCAAAGAAAACCAAGAGAAATGTGTAAATGCTGCTCCAACCCGTCGGTTTTTGACAACCCAGAGGATTGTCTTTCAAACCGACAGAGAACAGATTTTAGATGGGATATTGGGAAGAAATTCCCCCCTGTGAGGGTGGTTTTAATCTGCAGCTCATCAGCAGCTCCAGGGGAGAAGGTGTTTAATTAGACTGGTCTGGTCATACAGGTGGAGCAGCCCCACTTCAGAGAGGCCGAAGCAGTTCATTTAAAATCCAGGCTTTCAGCCTTGACCAGAACTTCCCACCCAAGGAAAGTCATGTGAGTGGGAAGGGACAGCACCACATTCTGCCTGAAATGATGGACTGTGAAGCAATTTTAGTTAGCTTTTAGGATTTTACTCTTAAGACTAAACCAGTCTGACCAGTACCACGTGCAGAACGGCTGCAGGAACCAACCCGGGTCTGGTTTTTAAGCTCAAAACCAATTTTTTGTACCATTTTTCCCCTCTCCCCGTGGCAAGGTGCCTCTGGAGTGGATGCTAAAGGTTTGATGCAGGTACTCACCGGCCGGAGCACCCGCAGCACTTCCCTCAGGGTGCTGCTCACGCTCTGAACCGAGCACAGCACCAGGGTACAGACCACGGCGTCCACGGAGCCGCTGGGCACCTGGTGCAGGTCCTCCCCTGCTGCCACCAGGAAACGCTCGTAGTGGAGGTGCTGGTTCTTCTTCATGTTCTTGGCGAGGCTCTCCTGGAAGCTGGGGTTGATGTCGGTGCAGGTGACTTTGCAGCCCGGTGGGTAGAACTGGAAGTTGGAGCCGCCGCCGGTGCCGATCTCCAGCAGCCTCAGCTCCCCCGAGGGGCTCCGGAAGTCGGGGAGGCTCCGGAACAGCTCCAGTTTGTGCTTCTTTGATTTCTTGTCGTGAACTGCGGCGATCTTGTCTAAGATGAACGGGAAAAACACCTTCCTGCAGAAGGGCTCCCACACGCCCAGGAAGGAGAGCAGGTAGATGGGGAAGGCGAGCAGCACCAGGCAGGTGCGGAGGAGGAGGACGCCGGCACCGGCCTCTGCCATTCCCGGCGTGGGCAGAGGACCTGCACGGGGCAGAACAGCTTCTGCTGCGTGTTAGAGCCCTGGGAGCTCAGGCAGAGCTGCCTTCGGGTGCTCCCTGTGCTCCTGTCCAAGTACGTTCGGCTCCTTGGACTGTCCTGGTGGACTCTTTTCTCCAGCTGATTTCCAAGTCCGGTCACAGGCAAGCGGTGACCAGAGCGTCCCAACTGGCAGGGGAGGAGCTGCCGGTTTGTTCCCAAACCGGGACAAACTGGGCAGCACAACTGTGTGTGTAACCCCTGGCAAAGTGTCTCCGAGTGCCCTCTCTTGGCGCTCGGCAGTTCCAGCACGGTCGGTCACGTCTCTTAAAGCCGCCTGCGCTGCCCTGGGGGAGCTGAAGGGAGCTCAGCCCGGCTCTGGAGCTCTGTAAGAATTTCATTAGGGGGTTGATTAAAGTCTCAGTCCAAACACACTTGTCTGGGAGTTGATTTTCCACCCGGTGTGAGCAGCTGGGTGAGCTCAGCAGCTCCATCCCCTCTCTGAACTGCACTGAATCTCCACTGAAAAGAGTTTTCAGTCTTTGCAGTTCGAGGACACCTTAAATCCTTTGGGATGTGGGAGCGGGCTCTGGGAGCTGCTGTTCGGGGTGATTTTCCGGAGTGATGGGCAGAGATAACACGGTTTATTAATTCAGTAGTTGCTGCATGTGCAGCATGTGGGGTTTGGGGTTTATTGAGTTAAAGTCGAGTCAGCACGGGCTGCTCCAGAAAGCTTTGTCACCTTTGGGGTGGCCGGAGCTTTCCAAAGGATTTGGTGGCAGTGTGGATGAGCCACGAACAGGGGACTGCTCTGCTCCGGGTGACAGGAGGACTCAAAAGCCCCTGAAACCCTCGGGATGAGCACTCCCTAACAACCCTAGGCCGTTCTGCTGGGAATTGCGTTGGAGTTTTGTTTTCCTGGGAGTGCCTCCGGTGCGTCCCCTCCTCCCTCTGGTGGCAGCGAAGCAAATTAAACCCAGGAGTAATTAGGTGCTTCATTAACGAGCTCTGGTTGTGTCTTCGTGCCTCCACCTCGTGGCAACTACAGACAGATTGAACAACGGGAATCAGAGAATCGTTTAGGTGGGAAAAGACCTCCAAGATCATCGAATTAATTACTCTGGGTTGCATGTGTGAAGCACAAATTGAGGCAGTAATGGATTATTTTATTATAATCTGGTTTTACATCAGGTAGTTCCTTGCTGCTGTGCTGCAGGGAATCATGGAAAAGGTTAAAGTGGCCAAGGAAGCAGCACCTGCTCTTGGTGTCCCGGGGGGAATTTCCCTGGAAATCATTCCTAAGGAAACTCCTGTGTTTAAAAGGTGTGAGTGAGGTTGGAGGGAGAGTAGAAAATGCAGAGCTTAAGGCCAGGTGTGAGGTGTTAGCAGAGGTCACTGCACTGAAGGGGAAGGAGAGGTGGGGGCTGTCGGGATGGACTAAGGAGGAGGCGGGATCCTTATTAAACATTTTTAATTGTTCTTTTCCTGAGCACCTGCGTGCTGATGAAGGACCATGTCCATTGATGATGATGGTGATGATGATGAAGATGATGCTGCTGAAGGACCAGGCCCGGTGATGATGCCAATGAAGATGATGATGATGATGATGATGAAGGACCAGGCCTGGTGATGATGCCAATGAAGATGAAGATGAAGATGATGATGATGATGAAGGACCAGGCCCGGTGATGATGCTGATGAAGATGAAGATGATGATGCTGCTGCTGAAGGACCAGGCCCGGTGATGGTGCCTATGAAGATGCTGATGAAGGCCCAGTGGTGGTGCCGATGAAGATGAAGATGCTGATGAAGGACCAGGCCTGGTGATGATGATGATGATGATGATGATGATGATAATGATGATGATGATAGACCAGGCCCAGTGATAGTGCCTATGAAGATGAAGGCCTGGTGATGGTGCCGATGAAGATGAAGATGCTGATGAAGGACCAGGCCCGGTGCCAATGAAGATGATGAAGATGCTGATGAAGGCCTGGTGCCGATGCAGGCCCAGTGCTGATACCGATGAAGGCCCAGTGTCGGTACCGGTGTCGGTGCCGATGCAGGCCCGGTGTCGGTGCTGATGAAGATGAAGATGCTGATGAAGGCCCGGTGCCGATGAAGATGATGCAGACTCCGATGAAGGCCCGGTGCCGATGAAGATGATGCAGACTCCGATGAAGGCCCGGTGCCGATGAAGATGATGCAGACTCCGATGAAGGCCCGGTGCCGATGAAGATGATGCAGACTCCGATG